GAAAGCTTGTAAGCCAGTCACTTCTTGCCTTTGTATTCCCCCCCTCCCAATTTGAGTATCCAATGTCCAAGCTGCCCTTCTCCGTCCACTCTGTGTGTGTGAATGTTTGTTGTGGGGATTTGTTCCCTCTTTTGAGTTGCTACTCCATCGGTATAGGTCAAGTTCATCAGACTGTATTAGCTCACTCTTTTTTTTTTTTTCCCCATCATCTTTCCTCTCCTGGTTGAGCTCCAGTCATCCAGTCATCTGGTCCAGGTCATGTGGGTATCATTTGCTGCAAGTGTGGGCGCTCCTGTGCATATGTCCTCTCTTCCCGTTAGCCGGTAGCTCCGCTCTCCTCTTGAGTCCTCCGTGGCCATGCCACTGACTCTGGGCCCAAGAGTCTCCAGGTCTCTTCACACTGCTTGCCAACCAGGTCCCCAACTGGGTCCACAGAAGTCCACTGAACATTGTAGGGCTTAGCTTGCCGCTTCATTGCGGCTTTTACCCCACTTTTCCCCATTGGTGATGTGTGTGATCACCAATCAGAGTGTGCATTTCCATTGAGTCTTAGTCTGGGAGTAGCTTACTTTTATATGAAAGTTTTGTTTTTAAGATCTCCTCCTTATCCTCCACCATGTTAATTACAAAACAGTAACACATTCATTACAAAAATTGGGAAAACTTAAAAATGTAGCAAAGAAAACAATATGCCCTGTAATCCTGCTATGTAGAAGAAATAACCCCCATTAACAATTTGGTTGATATCTTTGTAATTTTTATTTCATGTTTCTATACAAATGAAAAAGGATCTTTTCATACATTGTTTTGTGACCTGCATTTTTTTTTTTTTTTCTTTTTTTGAATTCAGGTTTGCCAAGCAGATCATTAGTTTTACATTCAGCAACTCATATTCTGCTTAATTACAATGATTGCAATCAGCACCTCTATTGAAGCAACCAAGTAATATCTTAAGCTTTTTGTCTGGAAATATCTTAAACTAGATCATATCATTCTTTAACTATACTTTCTTTGTTACTGCAGTGTTGCTAAACTTTGTGATACCATATAAAGAATTACTTTTCCTCCAGTTATCAATAAGATTTTCCTTACTTTGTTTTAAGCTTTCACAAATAACTTTCTCAGTAGTCATTAACAGCATTCCTTCGTGTCTCCTGTGATCATCATCATTCTTCTGCCAACTTCCCTCTGTCTACCCTGTCACCCATGTTAACATGTATCTACCCTCTAGTCTTTGAAGACCTTTCCCTCCATTCCCACTCCCTTTCTTAACTTTGGACACTGGTCTCAGTAATATTTATTCTTTTGTGATCGACCAATTTCACTCAGCATATTGTCCTCCAGGTTCATCCAAATTTTGAGATGTTCTGCAGACTCATCACCATTCTTTAACATTTCACAGTACTTCACTGTGTACCTGTACCCCAAAGTTTGTTCAACCATTCCTTCTTTCAAGGATGGGTAACCAGGATATCGCCATCTCTTGGATGTACTTCTCGTAGACTGTATATTTAATGCTTCTGTTTTCTTACCCATTCTGCTCTCTCTGTCTCTTGACTGGTATATTTAATCCATTTACATTTAGTGTTATTATTGGTACATATTGAATCGATTGCTGTCATTTTGCTGTGGGTTTTTTGTGTGTGTGGTGCTGTTGGTTATTTTGTTCCACATAGTTTTCTGCATTGAGTTCATTTTGTGGGCTATCTTTTCATTTTAATGTCTGTTATGTTAATGTTGACTAAATCTTATATTTATCTTTTTATTTTGATGTGCAGATTATTAATTTTCATAGTAAATAACAGGCTACCCTGTAATTTAATAACTTTAAACTATTTAAACAGTCTATTTTATCTCTCTTTTATTTTAATGGAAGACAAAAGTCTATTTGACTTTCTTGCCATTTGGAAGTTCTGTATCTATACTATTGCTTCTTTTTGCTTTATAGTTGACTTCATTATAAATTGATATCTTTGGTTCCCAATTTTCAGTCTTGTAGGTTTGTTTTACTTTAAATACGTCTATGTCTATGTCCTGGTGCCACGCTGTGTGCTAATGCGCTGGACTGCAAAGTTGATTTGAACAGCAAGGTCAGCTGTTCAAGCTCACCAGCCACTTCTTGGAAACTCTATACAGGATTGCTATGGGTTGGAACCTACTCAACGGCACTTAGCAACAACAACAATTTCTGGGTTGAGTTCTGGGTGGTGGTTAGTGTTATGTATAGTAATCTCAGGTTGTTGTTGATTCTCAGTCCAAAGAACACCCTTTAGAATTTGTTGTAAATTTGATCTGGTTAGTGAAAATTCCTTTAATTTCTGTTTATCAGGAATTATCCTGCTTCAGCTGGCCTGAAGATTCTTGGTTGGCTATTTTTTTCTTTCAGAATTTTGTATGTTGTTGTCAGGTGCCATCGAGTCGGAACCAACCTCACTACCGCTGCCACACTTGAGTCCTTCAATGATGCCACCTGGCCA